CGTGTCGTGGAAGGCGCTTCCTAATTACTAATTACGATGAATGGGTAACGGTAGGTAAGCAATTACAAAAAGTATAAAGAAAAGTACCAAGTGCAATTCTGTTTGAGCTGCGTGTTCGGAACTGCCGGTACCAGCTCACGACATCAACTGATGGACTAGTGCCTCTGAACAATAGTTCCTAGGGTTTGAGTCCTGACTGTGGCACGATTTTCGACACTACCTACACAGTTGTCTGGAGGAGAATTCTAGCTGCCGACTGCTCTGATTGGTAGTTTTTCGTGGTTTCTCCGACCAATACCAAGCGAATACCGGAGTACCCTAACCAACGGGCCACAATCCGCGCGCGATCTTTCCTTTCCCTTTCTTGCCCTATCCCACCCCTTTCTTACTCACACTTAATCTTACATGCACTGCATGTAACTACCACACATGCCGGAAGAACTGTCGGGAGCATAGAGCTTGTCCTGGCTGGGGCAGTGTCACACTGGTGGAAGACTCTCGATTGGGGGAAAAAAATCGCGAGTCGACGGATCTAGATATCGTCAGCCAGTGGAGGAAGTTCACCAAACCGCTTACAGCGATACAATCATGCACTAAACTTACGGGACTAATGACCTTAGCAGTTGACACGCCCGGAAATACTAATTAGTAAATAATAGACGGTGATCCTCAATTGGAATATCGACGGTGGCGGAACGCGGTCTTCTCAGCGCAGAAAGGGAACGTAATTGGAAATCGGTGCAGATCTGAGTGCACTTCTCTCTCATAGTACCCCCCCCGTTAAATTTTAACTGTTCTTGTCGTTAAATATATTCTTACTACGACTATGTAAGAGTGCAGACGATGCTATCTCCACAAACAGTTTGACGGTTTGAGTTTCGTAAACTTGTGTATTGTCGAGGAAAAAAATCTGGCTAAAGAACCTGACATGAGGCCTGTATTAATTTTAAACTATACAATAAAATTTAGTTTCTAGTTTAAATTGTAAACTAGAAACTCATTAAACTAGAATAATGTTTTTGTTGAATATTAATGTGTTTTTATACCGTTAAAACAAGTTTGTCAAATAATAATTTGATTCATAGAATTTTAATAGTATGTTTGTAAGTTTAATTTGTGACGTTATTTTAACTAGGGAACTTTTTGAACACTAATTGTACCTTGTAATATTCATATTACGTCTGAACGAAATAAACCTAGTTTTCTGTGCTTATATGATTTTTTGATGATGTGCGAAAGGTAATCATTTAATTTGTAATATTTTAAATATGTATTTTATTTTGTAATATTAAATTACAATTTTGCAAAACAGTATTTTAATCTACTCATGTCATTAGAAGTAGTAAACTAAAAATGAGAAAGTCGCTTAGAAAAATGGGTTTTTAAAGTCTTTTAAATTACTCGTGATATCTGAAAGATGACAACCATGCTTCTCCGGATACGACACGTTCTAAACCCAATAAATTCTACAAAACTGAAGAACTGTCGTTGAGAAACAACGAACATAAATGAGCCTGTGCTTTCGGTAGTGCCGGATAAGAACAACGTCGATAAATGTACTCGTAAGGTGCATAAACATCTGAGCAGCGAGAAATCTAATCTTCTGAAAAGTTCATTGTGTTACAACAGTTGTGACAGTCTTATCGCTCTACTTTATGAGTAAATGTTGGATAATGTCCAAATTTTGCTATCGCTATTATTATAATCATTATAATTATCAGAATTGCTAGTACTGCTAACTCCATAATCTTGTTAACGGTGTGATACTTGGATTTTAATGGTCAGCAGAAAGAATGCACACTTATTTCAAATTTTCATCTCTCGAGTCGTGACAATAATGCAAGTCACGAACGATGTGTACTGTACTAGTGAATACGTCAACTGTACTGTAGTAATGACGTTTATTTTATCGCCTTAAATAACCATAGTAAATTGTTTTATAATCTATGTTGTCAACGTGAACTGGGTTGTGCAGGAAAATTCGATGAATGAAGTATTAGAGCACTGTCATATGCTGCAACCTCTTCAGAAACTGGAGTGATTTTTTTTTCTAAATCCGAAGAGCTTGGCATACAGTAGCGTCATGAAGAGAAGCGTAACTTGTGTGTCGTCCTTCGCTGCACCACGCGTTTCCTTCAGCGCAGGATACTGACGGCACAGCATCCGGTGCCCCTGGTTTCAAAATTCTTTTCCCTTTCCCATTTCCCAGGCAATGCATTCACAGCATTTGAGTCACAGTTATTTTACCTGATTTTGTTCTTCAATTCGATTCTTTAGAATTACTGTTTTATATGACAATGCATGTTTTATAGTGACTATGTTTTATGTGAGCGTCCACTATAGGCTGCTTAAGGTCTCAAAGAATGCTATTACTTGTCTGGTACTGAAATTGCTTAATAAATTTGTATTGAATTCACACTGAAATCGAAAACAAATTTCGTGAGATTTCTAGAATAATAGACAAAAATCTACTCTCAGAAGTTGCCTTCTATTCTACAAATTACAATATATTTGTTTACTCCAGTATCAAGACGCGTTAAATTAGACCAATGAATGCCCAGATTGCCGTCATCCAAAGGAATGCTTTATGTTACTGCAGGAAGAACAGAGAAGTGCTTGGAAACACCGTTTTACGTCAGAACAACCATATTACATATCTGGAAGAAGTGTCATAGACGGTCATTTCCCCTTTTCAATAAGAACCAATGGGCAGAGATACAACACATCATGGCGATAAGAATGTGTGAGTTTGGGGCACGAGTTTTCCTCCTTTCACTTGGAGGAGCTAAAAGCGAACGCGAACTTCCTCTCCTACGGAAAATATTTTTGTAAGAAAATTTTATATTTGTATTAAAGACTGAATATGAAACGTATTTTTATTTGTTAACTTACAGTCAAGATTTATAATATAAACAATTGGTATATTGACTTTCGTCAGTATAGAAAAGTAGTAAAATCTATATTTAATATGCATCATTGGTTCTGGAGAAGGGGGTCTGAATCCCCATGTTCCTTGTGCCACTATTTATTACAATTAATGAACGGTTTCTGAAACGAGCCTTCATAGTTGTGAACACTATTCACAATTAATTATATTTCAAAAGTCATGAAAACAGAAAAAGAAACTCACTTTGGTTATATTTATCACCAAATTTATCTCTATCATTGTATTTATCACAAAAAAGGGCTTGTAAAATTGCAAGTCTCGTGTAATAAATGTAATATTGTCGTTATATAAAGATAAAAACTATTCATCGTATCATTTATTATTTTAGGTCTCAACTACAAATTAATGACACCCATAATTTAATTCCTTCAAAATTTATTGTAAATTTGCTCTGGGAAAGAAGAAATTGATATGCGGACATCGTCTTTGAATTGATTATATTCATTAAGTGCTCATACTAATGACTCACTTTAGTAGTTTAGTACCGAAACAGTACATACTTCTTGGCAACGAATTTAGTAATTGATTTTAAGCATCTGATTAACATTCATTTTGAACCTAATCTCTTCTCCGTAAGTCTATAATTAGAACGTGATGCCTGAGCGATGTGAATAACTTCGTTACCCTAAATTTGTTTTCATGCACGATATAAAGTATTTAGAAGTTATGTAACTTCAGTTTAACTTCTCCCTATAGCACGCAATATTCAGTTTTTAACTGTTTCTGACGTAAATAAATAAATAGATCCCTTGTGCCAACTGTCGTCCTAGGGGAGTTATAGATATTATTTTAGAGAGGGAGCAATTTCTGTTTGTACTTATAATAAATATTAATAATATTAATAAATATTATTGAATTAATAAATAAATCTTTAAAATAATGTTAACTTGAAATAAAAATAAGTGTATATTCATCAAAATACTCCTTCGGAGATGATATTATATCGTCACTGTGTTATGGAGATTTTATTTTTTCTCTTTTACACTGACAAGAGGCTAATATCTATTTATATCTAAATTCATATATATTCTGCGATTGTCGTGATAACCAATTGAGTATATTCGTACCCGCAAAAATTCCTTGAGGTGAACCAAATAAATGAAAGGTCTGGGTAAAACAAAGTATAATATGGATTTTTGGTACTATTCTGTGCTACCCATTGAGACAAACAACATGTGTAGTAGAACTGTATTTAACTACATTTTACACGCGATGCAATTTAGTGAAACTGCAATAATTTTGTAGGGAACTATTTCTCAGTTTCGTTCTTATATTATTTAACATGAAAATCACATACGTAAACGCCTCGTAAGAATTCTTTCTGATTATGTTTTCGTAAACTCGTTCCGATTGCTTTTTTCCGCTATCAAATTTCGTTTCCATGGCATGTAGTTGATATGGAAAGAAGACAAAGGCCAGACATGACCAAACAATTCCTAAGGATTCGGAGAATGCACTTTTATTTGTTAAAAATGAATCCATGCACTTCCAATGTATTTAGGCTTTATTATTTAATAGCATACTATTTAGTGTTTATGTATTAATTATGTGGAATATTTTGTTTTTGGATTTCGACCAACATTCGACCAAAAGGCTATGAGTTTTCAAAAGAAACAAAAGAGATTCTCGAGGCGTTTTCCATAATCACAATTACTACTGCCAGTCTTGAGAGAATTTTAAGATAGGAAAATATTATTATGCAAGATGGATGGTCGAGCACATAATACGTCCATGACCAAGGTTGGATTCGAACCCACGACCTTGAACGTGCAGTTACGTCTCTCACGCCAAACCAAGATATACTCCGTAGCTCGAACAGCCAGGTCAGCCGTGTGCATGACGACTTGTGTCGTATTCATTCTTCCAACGTCGTCTAACGAGGTAAGGACAAAGAACGGAAGCAGCAGCACCGGCCCACTGCCGCTGACGAGTGGGCGAGCGAACACGGGAGTCAGTGCACTGCAGTCCCGTTAGCACGTCGGCGGCGGCGGCAAAGACGAAGATGGAGTGTGCAACGAAAGACTAGCCGACCGGCAGCTACCGCCACCGCCACCGGGATCTGCCGGCAGCTGCCGCCACCACAGCCCCAGCCAAACCCGCTGGTCTTGTCCCCATCGTCTCTACCGCCTCTGTCCTGAAGCTGTCCACGTCCCGCCCAAGTCCCGGTGACCATCCAGTCCCCCCCGTCCCGCCTCTGCCCCCGTCCCGCCCTCCGCTCGTCCACGCTCTTGTCCTCCTCCCTGTCTTCGCCCCCGTCTTCACACAGTCTTCGCATCGTCCCGTCCCATCCCAGTCCCGCCCCTGTCCCCCCGCCCCGTCCCCGTCTCCGGCACCACCACCTTGCCATCTCGTCCCTGCCGTCCCGCCTCCGCCTTGTCGCGTCCTGCGCGCCGCCCGCTCTTGCAATCGTAATGAGCTTGCGCTTGTTGACTCGACCGCTCCCCCTCCCTTCCCCTCCCCCTTCCTCCTTCCTCCCGCTGCTTCCCCTCGCTTCCCCCCTCGCCCAGCGCGCCGCGCCGGGTTCGCGCAGGCCTCTCCGGGCAGCGCCTGCCGACAAGTTCCCCAGAGCGCGGTGCTGTGCGGTAGTCCCTCGTAGCCGAGTGCGTGTGCAAGGCCCACGTGAGTCTCCCTGCCGGCGAGGCGTCGGCAAGTGTCCCCGGGAATCGACCTTGGCCAAAGACCTGTTGTCACTAGCAATAACGAAGGCATTCTACGCATGTGCGATGCGCTTAAGAAAGTGTTATTGAGGATTGAACTTGGATGCTTGTTTTGTGGCGAAATATCTGTGAATTCTTAACAGAATATTGTGAATTTGCGGAGGCATAAACATTGTCGATTTGACAAAGCGATTAGATCGGTGCAAAATTCGACAGTTACTGACGTTTCGTGAGCAAATCTCCGTGTTTCTTAACTGAATATCGTGAATTGTGTTGTTGCTTCCATATAGTCACGTGTCATCTTGCACAATCTAGATTTTCTTACACGTTAGCGTTTTCTACGTGTTGAAGAAAATCATGTGAGTCGTTTTAAAATTTGGACAATCATCTACAAAGTTTTGTTAACAAATGACGGCAATTGTCAACTGTAGATCGATCTCGTGAATTGTTTGAGAGCGAAAGGTGATAGTCACTTGTTATTTTGTACGAGTTAGATTGTTGTGATAGTCTTGTGTTTCCGAAAACCACATTGAAGACTTTGCAAGATTTGATAATTGCTGTGAATCAGTGAATGAATGGTGAATTTGAAGATTGAAGTATTCTAGTGAATCTAGTGAATTGTTGTAGTGTTGTTACATACATAAATACAACATACCAAATTGCAGCAGTGTACGTTCCCAGGGTGATGAAAATTTCGTCCCGTAATAATTGCAGTTGAATGTCTCCTTTAGAAATCGAGGTAAGTAACGGTTTAATATTGAGTGTTATATTTCGAAATGAGGCATTTTATGATGACATTTCACTTTACTCTGTTCCAAACCATTTAATGAGGTACATAATGTGTATGTGTATGATGTTGGCGGTTATTGATATCCAGGAAATTTCCTGTTTGTATATTTGTGTTTTCGGGAGCTATTTGAATTTCGCGGTCAAGACTATCGGACACTTTGATTAAAAAGGCGGGAAATAATCTGAGGAACATATCACTCGGTTGAGTAGTTACAAGATTGAAAAGCAAACAAGTATGTGTTTTTAACTAATTCAATTACCATAATCTGGCACTAGTTTGTGAAATATTTTCACAAAGTGATTTACATTTTTGTAATATAAAATTCATTGATCCATTGAATATTTTATTCCGATTTCAACCCTGTGAATATTATTTATTCACACTGTCCTCAGTGATCATGTGACTACACAAGAGTCATCATGTTACCAAGACACTATTGGTGGTATAAACGACCCAAACAGATCTGCGATCCTGGGACATTTTTCAAACTATTTTCATTTTGTTTGACACATTGTTGTCGTCGAGGTAGCTGTAACTATTATTCATGGCTAATCATTTGGTACTCTGTATAACCACAAACCCAAAATCGTTCGTAATGTCATTCCGTTTCAAAAGTGAGGTGCTCGTTAATGTGGACAGGATTGGCCAATACGGCACGTCTCGCCTTCCCCTCACGCCCTAAAAGTTGGGTAAGATGTAGAAAACTGAACTAACCATACAAGAAATAGCTATCCCAAAATTCTGAAAAATCTTCCGATACAGATTTATTGAATATACTCTACATTAAATTAACTTTTTTAGTAATGCAAATATCGTTAATACTTCTGGCCCTCGGTGGCAAACACTTTTCTGCTTCTCCAGCTACAAATCCTATCTATGTTCTTGGTTTACAACATACGTATTTCCCTTATTACGGAACGTTTAGAAAACATGATTTTTTGACACGATCTAAAGCAGTTGAGCTTTGTGGCAGGACAGGCCACATCTCTCTGCTAAAAGTGTTCTTCCGTCAGCCAAATGGGCTGGAGCGCCTCCTGTTAATTCCTCAAAGTGCCTGTTCCAAGCGTGTAATTGGAGTTTTTGGATAGTTTTACGAGTAATTTGTAGTGTTCCAATATCTTCACGAAAAACAGTTAATGCAAATTGTACTCAAAAGCAGATGGGATACGTATGAGTGTGAATTATGTTATCAAATTAATGTAAACGGACAGGTCGATTTCAAATAACCCGCTTTCTCTCATCTTTCTACTTTCATCTCGCTTTTATTAAACATGCAATAGACAAAAATTTAATCATATAATTATTCATGTAAATAATTGTTCTTGGAAAGGAAGTTTTGAAGTAAAATTTTCTTTCATTCTAGCTACATAAATATATTAATATCATGCGAATATTCTCGGTTTTATGAAATGACAAAACCATCATGGAGTAACCAGCTCAAGAACCAATTAGCCAATGTTAGCGAATTAAATGCCACTCGTTTATACTTGTTAATCACTCACCACACACCCCAATTTGGTTTGGCATCAATGAGTGTTAAAAAACCACCGACGTGACTGTTCAGACCATATTATCCGATTTAAATATAGAATGATTCTTTCCACATTCCCTTTTCCCACATTTCAGATGCGGAAAAGCGGGAAAAAATAGAAAGAGGAAAAAAAATCTCTTTCAAAAAGGGCCATCCACCCAATAAGCGATCGTTCGGTCCAATGCAACAGTGTTCTGACGAGCTCTCTCAGGTTATCTATTTGTCGCGCCGTCTCAATTGAATCCGTGGTCACATAATTTCATTCGTTTAAATGCAACCGGAATCATTGTAGCTAGTCAGTCCAGTGAGAGGCAGCGAGGTTTGATCACGCCGCCGTTCCAATAAATTTCTATAGAGCAAGTGGTAAATGAGAACAATAGTAGGCATATTATGCAACGAGTGCATGTAAAATTTTCTAAGTAATTATCTCGCGCAATATCAACGATTTTGCGATTTTTGCTATATCAATAAAGTATCATTACGCGAAAATGTGTTACATATGCTATTATTTTGCATAAAGTCGTACATTTATTAACGAGTGACATTAATTCTGAAATTTAGTAAAGAGATGTTTTGTACAACGTTAGGTGCCCTTGACAAAGCGTGTATTTCTGCTGATTACTGAACCTGTTTTCTTGGAACTATTGAGATATTGGTTCTGTCCATGCTAACAAATTTTAGAACGTCATTCACTTTAAGAATATTCAAGAGCTTTATGAAAAGGAATATAAATATATTAATGTATGATATATTTCCAAATGTGATTATACAAAAACGAAAATTATCTTTGGGGTTCTTTTTATCAAGTGTGTGAACCGTAACTTCACATTCATCAGAAATAAGCAATTGCAATATGAATTGTAATATAAACTTGGTGCATCAAAAAAGTTCGTAAATAATCGTAGTAGTACACAAAAATATGTTTTTAGTATTTTGACTCTTCAATCTTTTATTTACTTGTGGAAGGAGAAGAATATATACCTGCCATTACAGGTCCTCCAGATTGAGATGCATATTACACGTCAGATATATTTTATTCTTCGAGGATGAAACGTATTAACAAAATACTTTTCATTTTATTTGCTCATATGGTACAAAAAGAGAAAAAGTCAGAACTTTTGAATTGAACAAAAAATATGTTCTTGTCACAGGACGGTAATGAGATAGGAAATGATTTAGGGAATGCTTGAATCATGACTGAAAGGAGTAGTAAACTAGTAAATGCTGATTAGAGGGAAATGCCTATCCAACAGTTTTGAGAATTAATCAAATGGTGTCGGTCTGCTAAAAGTTGCTGACATTTTTTCAAAACTTCCGGATATTTGTATAACGTAAACCAAAATAAACCAATAATTATTTCAGTTTAATTTTTAAGTAATCACAAATAATAGACAAAAGTAATTAAAATTAAATAATTTATTTTCATATATAAATGAAATAAATTTGCAAATAAGACGGAAGAGATTTTTTTTGCAACATGGTTTTCAAAACGACTGTAGGACGTTTTTTGAGGTAAAACTGTAGCCAACACAAAATGCTAACATGTACTACACGGTACTGCTCTCCTGCTCGTAACTAAATTCGATTGAAATCTTCAGCAGCAACGATGAGGGCAACAATTAATATATCAATTTCTTATGAAACCGTTCGTGTCCCAGTGAAGCTCATAAAAGCACTCGCGTGGTTATGACGCAGAATATACAAATTAGAAAATATTATGAAAAAGAAAACATATTGAATTTAAGTATATTTGCAGAATGTATGACAAAAAAGACAATAATGAAAATTGTAATAAAATTGAGAAAATAAGCCATCAACAACAGATACAAGAACATCATGAATGATACAACAACGGATACAAGAAGAAAGGATACAAGAACTTGAAAAAGATTTGTATAGAAATAACACGTATGAAGAAACAATGGAAAATAATATATTTTTAGAAAGAAAGGGTTAAAATGTAAGAGTTTCAAAGCAGCAAAAATACCGGTTCAAAGTGAGAGAAAAGAAAGAAGACACACAATTAAAGTTTGAAGCAATAATGGAGAGAAAAAAATGAATGAAAGAAAGACAGAGGGGGGAGAGAAAGAGAGAAAGAGATATCTCAGAATCAAAAATTGAAAGTCTCATGTGTGTCTTAAGTGGATTTAATGGAAAGAAGAAGAAATAAATATAGTTAATAAGAAAATTAAATTTTAAAAATGAGAAATAAATACACATAAAGGAAATAAAGACAAACTAAATAAATAGGCGGTGGGAAATAAATAAACCAATAAGGTGAAGCTGTAAGTGTTTAGTCTCACCGGGCTGATGGTGTGTGGAGTAAGTGTTGGCGCCGTAGTAGGAGCTGCGCTTCTCGAGTGCGGCCAGCTCTCCTCCCTTGCCTCCTGCCGCTCCTCCGGCGGCGCGGGGGCTGCTGGCCGGGGCCTTGGCTGGCAGGGCGAGGGAGGCGCCGGGGGGCGGCGGGGCGGCGGCGGGGGTCGGCGCCGAGGCGCTCGCCTCGCCTTTCCCGCCCCGCCCTCCGCCCGCCACCGCCCCCACCGCGCGCGCCTTGCCGTCGGGCGCCGTCACGATGGCCGCCGCCCCCGCCAGCAGCCACGCCGCCGCCACCGCTACCGCCGCCGCCGCCACGCGCCGCATTCTCATCCTGGGGACAACGACCATCCGTACACTACCGTTCTTTACACCACATTCCTTTACATCCTTTACACCACCAGCCTTTACGCCACAAACTGTAGTTCGCGAGCTACTAGTAGCTCGTGGGTATGTTTAAAACGCAGCGTTTGGGTTGGACTACTCATCCCCACTGAGCGCGCTCGTCTGTCAAGTGTCAGCCAGTATGCATTGAATTGCATTTAATTAGATTTAATATAAACTAGACATTTATATTTATAGGTAATAAACAACTGTGTTATTTAAAACAAAAACATGTATTACGTTATATTTAATTGGCTGTCCGGGTGACGCCTCGTCCATGGCAAAGGTGCCGACGTGATGACGACGAATGCATTACGCCCTGAAGAAGGTCGCAGAATGGCGACCGAAACGTCGGCACCGTTGCCATGGACGCGGCGTCATCCCGACAGCCAATTAAACACGGACTCCGGCCGCGGAAGCCTACTCTATCATGAATTATTTCCTATTTTGATGGGAAGCTCATGGTAAGGTTCATGAGCTGTAAGGTAGCTGAGTCGCGTAAAAGTTTGGCCCCCTGCTTTACGCCAATTCCCATCAACCGAAATAATTAGACTGCCTAATGCAAATTCGATTATTCCACTTGCATTTACGTGCTCTACACTACCACTCGTGTCAGAGACCAGTCGGGAGTTTCGAGCTTCTACTGGCTGGGACGATGCCCCGCTGCTGAGAGATACCTAGTGTGGGAAAACCCCGCATGGCGACGGGTAGGTCATCACCAGGTGTCACCATCTAGCGGGGGACGATCACCGCCACCTTTCATAACAAAACTTGCACTGCGCGTTCGGGACAAATGACCTTAGGCGTTGACGCACCCGGAATCATTAATAAATTAATCAATCGTGTTCAATTATTTCATACCATGAAACATTTTCAATGTGGAATTGATTTAATGCAAACGTCTGTCTAATGTGAATTTACAATACGGTCCTGTCAAAAGTAAAATCTTACATTATCTAACGCGGAATCCTATCTATTATGAAAACGTATCGGTCTCTTGAGATTCCGAAATATTGTTTCCTTGATGCAAATATTCTCTGTATTAACGGCACGACTCGCACTAAGCGTGGATGGGCCAACGAGAGTTTACTGTAGTCAGTTCAGACCATTAGACGATTGTTTTGACGTTTTCTAAAACAGTTCAGTAGCGCCTGATCCCTCTGCGCAATGGATTCTTCCGGCAGGCTGGTGCGCTAGCTGTTAATGGGTCAGTTCTGTGCGTGCAGTTAGAAGTTGGAGATAGTTCCCACGAGTGGTTTACATTGTTCTGAAATCACCATTAAAATAATATTATAAGACTTGATACTTATCATATCGAAAAAGCAGATGAGAATATGTACGTGTGTGAATTAAGACATCGATCGAATGTAAACAGACCGGCCATCCGAATTTCATAGAGCCTGCGATACTTTCTTTCATCATGAATTTTAATTACATCTTTAGTAATAAGAATTACGTATGCCGTGGAATTTCTTTAAAGCAATTTCTTAAATATATCGATTTCATGCAAACATTCCCGTTAGCGAAATGACAAAAATAATGGGGAATTCCACAACTACAGGACAAGTTAGCCCAAATTTGTGAAGAGAGTACGAATCATTTCTACGTATTACTGACCGACCAGGGCCTTTCATAGGTTTGTCATGAATGAGTGTCAAAAAAATTCAACTCACATGACCGAACAGATCGCAGACTCGTCACATGACTACAGCGTAAAACCTTCGATGCGCAGCCTAGTTTGGGGCGGTAGAATTCCTACGTTGGTGAAGGGATGGGAACTTTGTGCTTCACGGTAGCGAGCAGTCAGCTTATTGTGCCATTACGTCCACCCGTTTGACATGACATCCCACCCCCAGAGGGCAAGTTCCCTTGACGTACAGGTGAGGATTCCCGCTTCTAGAGGTGAAAGAAAAGTTTCGTCGCAAGACGGCAGTCCACGATGGACTACATGCGAACTCGCTGCACACGCGTGCTTGGCTTGCTGCACACATGTCATCGTAGCGGCCTTGTCGCGCGAACAACGCAGCAGGTAGCAGCGAAGACAGATTTATAATAAGCGCGAGCCAGATTCGTCAAGCGACGCTTACACGCGGTTGCATTGCATGTAACTTCAAGTAAGAATAACGGTTGAATGCATTGACACCGTAGATTTCTCTCTCTTAATTTCTAGGTCTCGGCTGTCCAGTGTTTCCTAGTTAGGATCTGTGATTGACGTCGTGTCGTATACTCTGTAGCCAAGGTTCCGACTATTGGTTCGACTCGTGATGTAAGAAACATTAAGGTTCGGTTTAGTCCAGCTCTAAAGCTGGGCTAAAGCTCTACACGATCGGATCGTCGGCTCAACGATAAGGGTCAAAACGCATTCTTCGCTACGTCGTGTTCTTCCATTCATTTCAGTTCTGAAGGCAACAGTAGGATGATAAAAACCTGTCGACACACTCAAATAGAAAACCAATCCGTTCAAATTTTAACAGTCTTGCCATTTTCAAATTTCAACGATCGGGCCAAATTTTAGCCAAACCGTACATGCTGTGTATATTGTACACGTACATACTGTGTGCTATTCTGAATACTTTTGAGTATATTTAATATTCTGTTCTAATGTTTGTACTAGATACGATAGTAAAAGTTTTGGTTGTCACGTATAAAACATATCGAATACCGTACAACGAACTCGAATTTGAAGCTATTTTACTTTCCATTAGAACTAAAAGGAGTCGGATACCTTAAATTAATATAAAGAACGATCTGTTTATTTCATAAACGTAGCTACTGGGAGAAAGTCACTTTCATTTTCGAAATGAATGTCGTATTTCCGATATGCTAAAACGTAAAATAGATACAATAATTAATCTATTTTCTAATGCTATAATCTATATTTTATAACTGAAAATAACTTTATTATTAAACTAATTGAAACAATAAATGAATTGATTGTTTAGGTTGTGATTTCATCTCAACCTAAACATTTCAGTCTAATCGTACGAAATTTGACACTTTTTTGAAACAGTCACTATGAACATCACTAAAACCACCTTCGCGAAATGCAATCCGACACACCACGACCAACCAAACAACTCAAAGCGCTACATCAACTCGAACACCATCACCCACACACGCGCCGTAGAACATCACACCTTGCAGCCTGCGGTCGACCACCACAAAACACTGAACCACTGGGGGGGCCGTCGGCGTCCACTTACTCGCTGCCTCGGGAGCCAAGTGGTGAGCGCTGCTACCCGCAAGAAGACGCGTGCCTTCTCGCGCTGTGCGACCACCGCGCCGCCCTCCGCCGTCTTTATACGCGGGGGCGGCCGCCCGACATTCAGAGCGCGTCGCGCACGACAATGCGACCGCCGCCCCCGCCGCCGCGAACAATGGGCGCGAGGAAAGCGCATTGTGGGCGGCGGCGCGGCGCGGCGCGAGGAGGTCCTCCGAGGAAGCGATAGCGGGGCGGCGGACGCTCCGAGGGCCGATTGTTGCGCGTGCGGGGGTGGATGGCGGCAGAGGATTGCGGACGCCCCCTCGCCGCCGCCGCTTCCGCGTCGCGGGATGAGCCGCTCATGTTCCGCGGTGGCGATGAAGGAGGGGGGGCGGGGCAGTGGCGGCGGCGGCGCGCGACAGAGTGGGTGTGGTCGCGGAACTGGGTGCGTTGTTCAAGGCGACAAACGCGGGAAGCATAAGTAGTTGGAGAAGTCGGTCGGCGATGGCGTCGGATGGGCGTCGGATGGGGTCGGATGGCTCGGATGGGCGTCGATGGGCGTCGGATGGCGTCGGATGGGCGTCGGATGGGCGTCGGATGGGCGTCGGATGGGCGTCTGATGGGCGTCTGATGGGCGTCGGATGGGCGTCGGCATGGGGCGTCGGATGAGGCGTTCGGATGGGCGTCGGTGGGCGTCGATGGGCGTCGGGATGGGCGTCGGAGGACGTCGGATGACGTCGGATGGACGTCGGATGGACGTCGGATGGACGTCGGCAGGGACGTCGGATGGACGTCGGATGGACGTCGGATCCGGACGTCGGATGACGTCGGATGGACGTCGAATGACGTGGTATGGACGTCGGAGGACGTCGATGGACGTCGGATGGGCGTCGGATGGGCGTCGGATGGACGTCGGATGGACGTCGGATGGACGTCGGATGGGTGTCGGAAGAGTATTGTGTCGGCGTTGGATTGATATCGGATTGACGTGGAACTGATATCGGATTGGCTCGGGATAGATATCGTATTGGCGTTGGATTGATATCGCATTGGCGTGGGATGGACTTCGGATTGGTTTTGGATGGATATCAAATTGGCGTGGGATGGACATCGGATTTGCGTAGGATGGGCATCCGATTTTGCCGGCTGGATGGCGGGTGATCTACTTGGGGCCCCGGTGGGAGCAGAGGAAGGCCGTGGGGGAGCGTTAGGCAAGGGGGCGGGCGCGTGGGCGGATGAGGAAGCGAGGCGGAAGGCGCGGGGCAGATCCACTCACGACCACCCGCGGTTGGCGCCTTGCTTTCTTCTGGAATGTGCTGGAGTTATTGTTCTCGGAATGATGTGTTCATAACATCCTCAATGCTAGCGCGCGTTGCTTCTTTTCAAGAACAAACTAAAGGTTGTGTTGATCCTGGGTTTCTCTTAGTAAGTTCCTAGATTTTGTCTTCGTGGTGTAAATGAGTCTTGTCTGTCATTAAATGTAGTTTTCAGTGGTATCTAGCATCCATCCAATACGACGTCGCTTTGTTTGTTCTTGATTACTTTTGTGGAGTTTCGTTGAAGGATTTGAATTCAGGCTGAAAAATGTGGAAATCATCGCATATTACATGCAATTTAATTTGTATTCGTTGCTAATATTATTTGCCATTAATACTTTTCATTTCAGT